ATTAAGTTAACTGGTACCAGTCCAAGTAATTTCTTTGTATTTTGAAAATAACAAACATACCGTAACTATCTTGAATTGTTGTTGCTTAACATTGATTGCATTTTCAGCAGAAACCGAGAAAGTGCCATTAAAGTTGTATGCTATTTTTGGTTTTAAATGAATTAATTCTAAGCATCAACCTTTCACGATACGAAGACAATAATCCGTGAATTATGAATGATATACGATATAAGCACTTAGGAACGTTATAACCGAAGTACAGCTGCTAATCCGAGTATCCAAATATTGCCACCGCTGGAACCGCGGAAGATAAGAGAACACCACCATACAACTTTTTAATCACCGGAAACACCAAAGCACAACACTATTTCACGAACACTATATTCACAATTAGCATTGTAGCATTTCTTGTAGCTCAGATATTCACAAACAAAATAAGCACAAATTCAGCATTCTCACGATGATTTCTCCTCAATTCAGAGGCTTCCAAACAGGAGTTCACAGCAATGGAATTTCACTCGCAGAAGGCAGTTGAAGTAAGTAGATACAGAACAATGAGAAGATTCACAAACGTTCTTTGATTGCCAGTGCATTACATTTAATATAAGCAATATTATTTATATCAGTTATTGCTTGATTCAATTTCAAACATGAAGTCAGTCTTTTCAAACGTTTTACAGATGGCATGTTTACCAAATTACTTGAAAGAACTGCTAGAATCTCAATTAATTGCGCAGTTACTTGTTCGAATTTGGCAGCTAGCCAAAGGGTGCAAATCTCGAGATGTTAGTTTATATAAGCATCCGGTAAATAATGGACCCTTCTGCTTCTCTTGACTGTCGATGAGTTTTCCGTCATATATATTAGACAGCTGTTAAATATCCATCGTCTTTTAACATTGGACGTTTTCTCGGAATTTTTAAAATCGCCCCATTTTTATCCGTGAATACATCTTCACGCACAATCATATCTTCGCGAAAATTGTACTTTTTGCACTATTATGCGGTAAAATGTTTCATATAATGTCACCATATTAATTCAAATAAATTCGTCCTTACTTCAAAAATAATAAATAAAGTCATATTTCTGTAGTATTGCTAACATGTGATTTGCATCAATTTCGGAAATATGATTTTTTAATATATATGAAATGCATAACTTAATAACTTACTTCATAGATTAGTTTCATTTTTAAAATTTTGCTATAATATTTATAAAAAATATTTTAAATATTAAATATTTTAACAAAATTTTAAACAATAATTTAGCACGTATTTTTAGTACTAATTAAACTTAATAAATCAAAAGTACTTATATTAAATTTATATTTCATTAGATGAATCTACCTTAAATTAATATATTTAGATGAAATAAAGTAATGAAACATTGCTAAGTAAATCTTATGCGGACTTCAGATTTTGAAAGGGCAGATTTAGTCTCTTTTCGTTCTAAAAGTAACGCTGATGAACTATGAAAAAAAAAAAACGACCATGTCTAAAAGCGGTCATATCATGACGTTTCAGCGACCTCGGCAAATTGCGAAGTTGCAACGGCAAATATTTTGTGTCTTCGCAACGTTGTATAGACGTCGTAAAATTTACCACGACCACTTTGCACTTTGCAATCTTTCGGACTAGATTGCAACGTCTTTGCAACGTCGTGTGCTAAATTACAATTTCATCGAGAGACGTTTTTAATAACAGACTCAAAAATTAACCGAAGGAAGTACAAAATGTTAAAGAGGTCAAAGTAAACTTTCAACTAACAAAACAGACAAATTTCATGATTTCGAAGGATGCGATCGGCTTTCATTTGGGAATTCATTTAGGCATATTGCATTAAAGTTTTTGCCTTTATTTGAAGGTTTTTCTGTTTAATTTATTATTTTATTTTAAAAGAAGTTTTGATAAGGATTGCAGAAATTATGTACAATATTATGAATTAACGACTTAAATAAATTCTTCAAGACATAAAAAAATAAGGCAGTATACTACGAACTCAGAATTGTCACTTCAAATTAAGCAGTGTCTCTATTGGTAAATTTAAATATTTTTATAAACACAGTGATATGTGATTTATCCCCCCGGTTTTTCTAGAAAAAAATGTTTACTTTTTTATTTTTCTATTTTAGTTTAACAAACACATAGCTGTATTAATTTATTGCCACTACAGAATAAATATATATATTTACATATATTTATTCTTAGTATATATACGTATATATTTTGTACATTTAATGGAATGTTTAATAAAGTTCACAAAGGCCAGTTACCTTAAGCAAAGAACGAGGTTTATAGAAGTAACGCCGAGCATCCCTTAAGCACTAATGAATATTAATACATCAGTTAGTACAAGAGGATATACAAAATAGACGGACCTATGAAGAATGACCTATGAGATGGACCTATGATCTTGGAAAGATCTATGAAGTCTTTCAGTATGTGGAAAATAAGAAAAATAGAAATGTAGTAATTTGGAGAAAAGGGAGAATATGTAAGATAAAAAAATATATTAATTAAATTTATAGCCTAAATTAGCTACAGCCCTTAATTACTCATTTTAATTTTGCTGTTTCCTCTTTCTGTTCTAAAAATAGCAGTTGCTAATCATGTTATCTGGACTGCTTCATTTTTAGAGTAATAAAGATAATGACTTTTACATAACGATGATGGCGTAGCTAATTCGGAATTCAAAATTTCAAGAGCCGAAACCTTTCTATTAATAAGCATCCATATTGGATATCTGCGCACTTTGTTTCTATCTCTCGCTAAACGCTGTCTTGCTACTTTCTTCTTACCGCAACAATATCAAAAACTTTCTTGAAGCGGCACGAGTATCGCGCCAATTTGTTTGGGGCCGCAAAATGTTCAATGAAATAAAAATGAATATTTAATCTGCCACGGCAGCCACGCTTGCTGTGCATTATGGATCAACATCTACGAAAAGCAATATCTATATCTCCACAAACGATAACAAAGATACTTTAATACACACAGTTTATATTCAGCATACCGGTTTATTAGTAATTTCTTTTTTATTTTTAAAAAATTGTGTGTGTGTGTGTGTGTGTGTATTTAATTATGGCAAAGCGCACTAGGGCTATCTGCCTAAGGGGAGGGATGCCTTTCGTGGAGGACTTTCTAAGGGAAACTGGCTCGTATACACGTTACACATGAGGAAAACCACGAAAACGCCCATGCAGCCAGCCCGTTCGCGGGATTCGAACCTCGGACCGAACTACCAGTGTTCAGCGTCTTTACCGCTCGGCCGCTGGTGGGCCTCCTTTAAAAAATTGTCTCTTTTAGTTTAATGCACACACATATATACACTCATGTCCATAAATTAAGGATAATGCAAAATCAGGCAAAGGAAGAGTTAGAAGCAAAACAGATTTGACTTATTTGTAAAGCTTATTTATTAAACAAAAGGTAAAGAGAAAAAAAAGATGCTATATGTTTGATATTATTAAAAAAAATAGCGATTTTTTCTTCCTGGAGCAAATTACAAAAACACCTATTTACAAAAAACCGATATTACATGGTTGGTATGATTGTTAATACATTGTATGTCTCCCAGACGATGCAATACAGTCCGTACAACGCCTAGGCATGCTGAGTATCAATTATCGATCTGATCTTGGGGGATATTACAACACTCAAAAAGCAATGCTCTCCGAAGTTCCGGTAGACATGTAGAGGAGGTTGACGGGCTGCAACTCGTCGGCCAAGCATGTCCCACACGTCCTCTACTGGATTCAAGTCCGGTGAGAATGCTGGCCAGTCCATACGGGTGATATCCTCCGATTGAAGGCATTCGCTTACGATGTTTGCACGGTGAGGACGGGCGTTGTCATCCATAAACACAAATTGTGCGCCCATGGCGCCCCGAAACAAACGTACATGTTGTTCCAGAATGACGTTCCGATAGATTTGGCTTGTCATGGTTCCAATTTGAACGTGCAGGTCAGTTCTGGAACACAGAATGATTCCATCCCAAACGAGCACTCCTGCACCACCGTAACGGTGTCGTTCAATGATGTTTTCTTGGTGGTAACGGATACCTGGAGCTCTCCATATGAAAGTCCGGCGAGAATTAGACTGCAAGCTAAACCTGGACTCGTCGGAAAACATCACACAAGCCCACTGTTGCGGTGTCCACAATGCATGCTCTCTACTCCAGCCCAAACGCAGGCGACAGCGAGTTGCAGTAAGTGGAACGCTTCTGACAGGTCTACGAGCATATAGATCAATCTGCCCTAAGCGTCTGTACACGGTCTGCCTTGAAATTGTCAAACCAGTGGCTGAAGAGAGCTGACGAAACAGGTCTGAGGCTGTGCTCCGCCTGTTTCTTTTGGCAGTAACTGCCAAATACCGGTGCTCATTTGGCGCTGAAATGTAAAAGAGCCCTTTTGTTTGTTAACACATTGTGCAAAAGCTCAACGAGTTTGACATACAATTAAAATTAGTTTTGAGTAGTATTGAACTGACTCTTTCTAAACAGTTTTGGGCAAAATACATATCTCTTCATTCTTTAAAGCGATCACATAACATCCATAATGCATATCTATACATTTTTTAAACTGGTGACCTATGATTCTGGAAGCTAGACAATTTTGTTTCCAGATAAATAAAATGTCTGAAAATTTTCGTCTTTGGTATTCAGATAATTAAGCGGTTTGAATTCCTTCGTTGACAAAGAATATGAAGGGAATTAAGGATAAACACCGTAACGCTGATAGTGAAACACATTATACATTTAATAAATAAGATATAATATATGCATTTCGAAGTGACAGAATAAAGACGGCAATATATTCAAAGATGTAAAATAATAAAATTCTGTCTCTTGTTTAAAAATATTGCATAATTTAGGTTTAGTTAAAATGTTTGCCAAATCTAACTTTACGACGCTCCCTTAAAACTTGTAAACGTAACTTTAATACTTTTAATTCACTTCTCATAAAATGTTTCAAATATAAAAGAAAATTAAGAAACACATACCTTGCATCATTATTTCCCACATTACAATACCAAAAGACCACCTGCAAAAGAAATAAATATTCTCAGTACTTAAAACGTTAAAAATATATCATAATTCCAGTAAAAGGTGTGCTATACACAAAACACTAAATTTAAATTTCACTACATGTGTATGAGTGTATGTATTTATGAGTATTTTCATCTGTTCTCTAGATAATAAATGGTTGAAATCACGAAAATTATATCTGCCTTCGTGGTGTAGCGGTCCTCCTGCTGGACGCGTATTCTAGAGGTCCGCGGTTCGATTCCCGGGGATGCGTTGCTCATTTTTCAATCTCTCTTGCTTCCAATTAACCTAATGTCTCTACAACTTAAAGGAAAAGCATTCTACTATCAAGATCTGCTTCTTCACATGTAGGGAAGAATATGTAATATCTTTCGTCATTCATCTTTTCCAAATACAATCACATGAATTGGAATGCATTTCCACTTTCTAAAGTCTCGTACATTGAATGTTACTCATCATATTTTAAAGAGCCTGTAACTGATATCTAAATCTTTTGGAGAAAAATTTCAGAAGAACACGTTAGAAAAATATTTTTTATTAGTTATTTAAATAGTATTACGCCATCAGCTTTAATTTTACTTTGATAGCAAACTGAGGGCAAATGAAATTTGCTTTCCTTCCACATAATTTATTTTAAAAAAAGTGTCTTTTCATGAGGCATATTACCTTTCATTCCCTTAGCACGTAGCTTAAAAGCTTACATTTATTTTTTGTTGAATGGCATTTTATATATTGATTGAATCTAAGTTTCTTCTCTTCTAGAGGGCATTACTTCGAACAAATCACGCAAGCAGTTTGCTCTGAGTACTTTTTTTTTTACTTTTCCCGTGCAAAAGAATTTTTGTCAGAAGAAAGACTTTGAGGCATTCTTGAAAGCCAAACTTAAAAATGATTTTAACAATTATGAAATAATCAGAAACATATAGGTTTTTATTAATAATGCATAATATTATAAGCGAAAGGAAGACAGGAAGGAAAGAAATGCTGTTAACTAAGAAAAAAAATTGTTTTGTACTATAGGGTTATTTAGAAATATGGCTTAACTTTTGAAGTAGGGTATATCTAAAGTAAGTTACCCGTTTTGAAGAATTTTTAATGGGTTATTGCATATTGTAGACGAAAATAAAAACCTGAAACTAGACCTGAAACTACATATTTTCATTTCAAATAAGAGCTTATATCATTAATATACATAGCAGCAAGTTACAATAGAAACATGGAACGTCTGCATTTGCAGTAACCGTCGCTCGGTCTGATTATTGCCCACATCATTCTCTGGCAATGGCTAAAAACTGCTCATTGCCTAGCATGCTTATAAAGCATTAGGCCTTTAAAAAAGTCTTAAAAAAGACTTATAAAGCATTAGGACTTTTTTTAAGTTGTAATGCTTTATAAATGTATTATTACTTATTATATCCTAATGCTTATAATGGAAGCTTTATTTAATAGCCATTAGATTTGTGCCACTACAAAGACTGGAAGCGGTAGCCCTTTTATTATGGAAGAACCTAATACGAGGTGGACACCGTTGCCTCCTATGAAGGGGATGAACAGTTACAACCAAGCTTTCGGGATTTAAAACCGGAATCATCGCTACGACAGTCAGAGTCATTAACCACTATACCGGCTAGGCAGCGCGTTAGGACATGATTTTAATGCAGCGCTTTTGCCGACAGGTAAGGGAAATTAGGGGTAGTTTTATTTGGTTTGGTTTTTTTGATTATGGCAGAGCTCTCTAAGACTGTCTGCCCAAGAGTAGGGATGAAGCCATTGTAGAGGGATTTCTAAGAGAAACTGGCTCGTATACACATTATACACGGTGGAAAACATTACGCCTCTCCCAGCTAGCTCGTTCGCCGGGATTCGAACCCCGGAGAATGAATAGCTTCATAGAATTTACTTGTATCACCGGATTTGGAAAAACGTTATTGATACATTTAAAGCATATATAATCTTAATTTAGAGATATGAGGAATTGTTTTCTTTGAATTCAATACAAAACAGAGGTAATGAAATTTCGTTTGCATTAATAAAATTTAGTTGACTGAAAGAAAAATCTGATGTTATATACACTTTTTATTTTAAATAAACAACAAAGAAGCAAAAATGCATACAAAAGGTTTTCAAACACAATAATAATAGATAATCTTTAAAATAAACACGGTAAAACACAAAACGTAAAAATTATTTTCCAACAATTATACGATCAAGCTGTGGATGTTAGGTACATAGTAGAAAAAATAATGTTTCTCTGCCACACATATAGTTTTTGAAATAATATTAAAAATAATATAATTTTTAAAATTCAAAGAAAAGATCATAACATAAATAAAGAGATGCTTATGCTGTAGAAGCAATTTGTAATAAAAATTATGCTCGGTCTTGAATCCGATGACTGAGGAAACAGAGCATTGGTGAGTCATCCGGGCTAAGTTCGTGGAGAGTGAGTGGGATGGCTGCAGAGGTATTAGTGTATTCTTCAAGTGTAACGCAACAAAATCAAGTTTGCTTAGAAAGCTTTATCCATAAAAATATCATGTTAGTCTATTGTATGAGCTCAGAGCATTTCCATCTTATACTTTTAAGGTGCGTTTGTTAAGTTTATATTCGCACCAATTATGAAATGGTAAGTAAACTTACGCCTGTTCATTTATAAAACTTTATATAATTTAAGGCAAAAACATAAAATGTATTTCATAAATAACATAAAATTCCCATTAAACGTTAAAAAAATAAGCAGTATGTTTTACTTTAATCTATATTTAACCAGTTTAGTTTAAGATATAAACGACTTATACTTATTGACTAATAGTAAAACAAAGTATAAAAATATAGTATTTTTTTTTCAAATTTAAAGCAGCAATAGATTTTTAGCTCTAAATTTTAACAGTACCACTAACAGAAAAAATATTTGATTGTAATAAAAATAAGTAAAAAAGTCTGAAAGGTTTCAAATTTTAAATTACGCCCAAAGGGGCGTTTTTTTAACGTTTTGTGTGTCACCTTTATTTATTAAATATCATATTCTTCGCACTTAAATCATAAATTTCAGTTCAATATCAATGTCGCAAAATAATTTTAAAATGAGCCTATCTTTTCCGATACACACTTCCGCGCGCTAGAGATAAAAAGGTTCCCCCCCCCTCCGTAGATTGCTGCCGTTATAAAACAAATTCCAAATTTCAAATTTGGGCTTCCACATACACATATTCGCAGTAGGATTACGTCATTCAAAATTCGATGGCTCTAGGTACCGTTGTTTTATCACAATGCGAGAAATATACATACATTTATGCAGCTTTTTTATTATTTAATTTCTTCAAATATAATGCAGGACTCTAACATTTGGTGGCAACAGTTTGAAAAGTGAAACGGACATTTATAGTGATTCAACGCAAAATCGAAAAACGAAAACAATAGTCCATCAGGGACAAAGCCCCTTTGGACTAATAAAAGACTAAACTAGTATATCTGATGAGTAATTTTATTATAATGGACTTTCAGTAATAACAACGACAATGCTCGTTTTCCAACAAGCATCTGATTCTTCCGAGTAATTTTTTCCTTCATTATTTTAAAGCATATGTACTCTGAGTTGTAAAGAGCGTTGATTATGTATGATTTTAAAATTAAAACTTCTTCTCTCTTTGTGAAGTTTCTAAACTGTTAATAACCAGTCTGTTAATTTTGAAGCCAAAGCATGCATCAATTCTATCAGAGAAATGTCAGCAAAAGGATCCCATATATTCATAATTATTTCTCAAATAATCTTTAAACGATTTTTTCTATAGAGTAGAAATTTCTACGTAAAGTAAACCACCACACGGTGTTTATGAAGAGTGGAAAAATAGGCAGGAAATGGTGCTTCTAAGAAATATGCCATTTTTGGAGACATTTGGATGTAAAAATTGCGCTTCTTAGAATCGAAGAAATAAAATATTTCCAAATGTATGACTTTTACATTATTATTTTTCTGCTGAATGGAATGTTGAAATGATAATAATGCTATTTCCTTTTTGGAACACACACACACACTAGTGCAAAAAATAAATAAATATTATTAATTTTCGAGAGAACAAATTCACTGGTTACAAGTATATTTTATTTCAAAATTCTGCGGTTATATACAACAAAAAATTTTAAATTGAAAATCGATAATAAGTTAAAATCAGACTGTTTAGATATAACTTTTATTATAATTTAAAGTAATTGTTAAAATAATTAGATATACGTACACATCGCTCTTTGAAGTATAAATCTGATCTTCAAGTGACTCAATTGCCATCCATTTCACAGGAACACGCCCCTAATAAAATAATAGGTTAATTTTTAAATTAAATGAAAAAGAACTGATATGGTATAAAAAATAACAAAACACTGTCAGTAACCTAGTTAAACAATTGTACAGATATTACTTTCTTCCGAAGCAGGAGATGTGAAAAATGAGCAATGCCCTCTCCGGGACTCGAACTTGGATCTCTCGAATACGAACCGAGTGTGCTACCGCTACACCACGAAGGCACGCATAAAGGAGGGAGAAAATACCTCATGCAGAGAGTTATAGATTAACCAAAGTATTGTTTAATAATACGTATTTTGCATGTAGTGCTAAAATATTTTTGCATCAAGTTCTTGTAAACTGTGTCTCTGAATTTAGTTTTCTGTAATAGCTTAGTTTTTATTAAATACAACAAGATATATGTCATATAATTAAATATTTTCATTTAAAATACCCTTTGAGTTCACAGAATTAAAAGAAAGAAAATTAAAAGATTGAATTTCTTAATTATGCATACACATTTTTAGAAAATTAAAAAAATAATAAATGCAGTTCTTTTTTTATTTCCATATAAAATTAGTTAAAGCCACATTTCTCTCATAAATATATTTTAGGCTTTCAAAATGATAACCAGCAGAAACTATATGTATAAATTATATTAATCTAATCCACTACTCTATAGATACAAAGAGATAATGTTTTGTCTTAATGCTGCATTCCCACGCATATATATCGTAACATTTCAGATATGAAATTATAAACAGGATTTTTAAGCATTACTGTGTAAAAATATTAAATGGAAATTGTGATGAATTAATAATGATCACATTCTGTACGAAACAACATTAAAAGATTAAGTTACGCGACCTGTATGGTTACTCAGACATTTTCCACTCTAGTAACAGTTCAGTTAGTGGGAACGAATCATGTTCTACAGTTTTTTACGTGAGCCACTTTGATTGATGTGGTGGTTAGTGAGGCTGACTGACGTATCCACGTGCTCAAGTTAGAATCCCGGATAAGGCATAGATGTTTGTAAAATGTATAGTATCTGTGCGACATGACGGCACTCAGAATACTGACAAGAAAAAAGTCGTTTCGAGTAGTTTAGTAGTAAAGTAAGAGAGGCGGACCGGCCTTGGGATGATCTTCGTCAAAATTGGGGCGGAGCTGCAGAGTTAGTGAGGTAGAACTATACATGTATACAAACAATCGTGGATTACAGGTATCCCGCCCATTTCTACCTGTACCTGTTTATTCCCCAGTTGGGATGCAGTGGCGACCAATTTGGGGCCATCAGCCTTTATTATCCAATACACTTTTCACCTCAGATAAGGTAAAGAAAGTGAGACGGGTACATTTAAATTGAATCTGAATAGTGAAATTGGATTTGGTTACTATTTAATCAAATATACTTTTGCCTGCCCCCATACAGTTGTTTTTCTCCCTGATTGTTTTGCATAATCTGATGTAAGTGCTTCCGTATCTAAAAGCAGATGTGACATAAAATAATAAATTAATAAAAACTGATTCATTTAAAACAAATGTTTCACAATTTAAAACAGTTGAAAGAAGAAACCTAAACATCATAGAATACATATAAATGTACTCCATCGCAGTCAGATCTATGCATTTTGCCTATTTTGCATCTCTAAGTGACAAATTAGTCGATAAAAGTGCTGCTGACATATTCAAGTGGTAACGAAGGCCAGTTTGAACATCTTAATTTATTTTGAAAAAAAGTGCTGATCTCTTAGGTATAAAACTTAATCTTTATCTATTTATTATTCAAGAAGTGTACGATTTAAAAGTATAATTATAAAATTTTACATTTAGAAACATATGTAAATTATTTCATTATTTAAAACTGTTAACTTACCTTGCTCTTTTTAAGATAAGTTTCTCCCTCGTAAACATCCCTTGAAAGTCCAAAATCAGATATTTTGGCCACTTTTCGCTTTGCTAGCAAAACGTTTCTGGCTGCTAAATCTCGGTGTACCAACTATAGGAAAATTATAAAAAGACAAATACATAAGCAAAAGACGTCTTGGGCAATAAACTAAAATGAAAAATCAAGAAATATTCGTTAACCTGTAGTACGAAAATAAAGGAATACTGAATAAATACCAGGGAATAATATAAGATAACACAAAATAATATCGATGTAAGTCAACCGTTATATTTTTATCCAATGGCGAGCACTTACCTATTCAGCATTGGCTGCTCTTAAGGCCATAAGTGGTGGCCATTTTATTGTGAAGGCGCCTAAGTCTACGTTCTAATGGTGGCATAAATGTCATAGAGGTATAGTCATAAGGCATGAAGTACGGGAGTTCCCTTCAAACCTGCGACAAAGGGTTTAAGCCGTAGCCAATTAGAAAAGCTAAATTTGCGCATGCTTGTATGCGTCTACAGCATTCCCGTTATGTTTTCCCGCTGAATAGGTTTCGCACGTTCATTCTGATTGGTCAGCTCTTACACCAATTAATCATAGAACTGACGATTTATGCCAAAACCACTAAACCAGTTTTCGTGACGCAGTAAGGTCTGATCACCCAGCAACAATGCTCGGCTTAAGCCAGTTATGGCATATACCACAGTCTGAACGGAGCCTAAGTCTGTGTTCAGACGGCGGCGTAAAGAGCATAGAGGCATAGTCATAAGGGCATAAAATACGGGAATTCCATTTACACTTTCGAGAACGGGGTAAGCCGTGGCCAATGAGAGAAGCTAAATTCGCGCTTGCGTGGATGTGTCTACCACTTTCCCGCGTTGTTCTCCTGCTCGATTGATTTCCCGCGTTCGCTCTGCTTGGTTTGTGACAGCGAAATCTTCTGTAGAACGCCGCTTCGTTTTAGCTTCGCTCTGAATGGTCGATGCTTATCCCAAACTCGGCATAAAGTTAAAAACTTTGAACACTATGCCACGAGCCCTAAACCAGATTTTGTAACGTTGCACAGACTGGTTGCCTTGGCAACGGAGCTCGGCTTTAACCACTTATGCCCTCGTCTGAACGGGGCCTAATGGGCGACTATCGTTGCTTCCAATGAAGGGGAAGACAGTTGAAACCATGCTTTCTCCGGGATTCGAACCCGGATTCTTGGGAACCACAGCATGCTCACCTAACCACTACACCGTTCAAGGCAAGTCATCTGTTATAAGAAAAACTCTATGTTTCAAGATTCAAAGGATATATGCGTACGGCAGTTTATTTTCAAATACTTGACTAATAGTTATTATATCAATATAAATGATAATTTTGATATATTTTGGTGTGTGCTAAAGTTTTCTTCCGTTAATAGCCCGCCGTGACGCCTTTTATAAATTTTATAATATATTATTATAAAATAACCGCCTTTTATAAAATTTCACAGTTAAGTTTTGCAGCCAATGAAAAAAAATCCAGCGTCAGAAGGCAACCAATCGCAAAATACCTTCAGCTACACAGGCAAACAGAAGTGAAGTCGCTAGTTGTCTGATGAAATCTGTTCCTCACCTTACAACACAAGTTGGCGGAAAAAGAAAATTGTCATCAATGGAATCTGATGCAAATATCTAAATATTGCCATAGCGTAGTAAATAATTCAATGTGACCTCGTCACATGGTGTAAAAGACGGACTAAGAAATTGAATGAATTTAGATGAAATGCACTGTAATATAATTTTCCATTAATCTTATTTTCGAGCGTGATAGTTCTAATTAAATACACTGAATGAAATTACACTGTTCTAATTAAATACACTACTAATGGGCCATGGTCATAAAATAGAGCTATGAAAGTATTTTAATCCGGAATTAAGGGTTGAGAAAGAATTCTAAGATGTTACTTCAATTTGTTGCATAATAATTACAGAGCTTCTAAGAATTTCACTCAATACCCACGCTTTCAAGGCTTAATACTATTTCAAGGCTCAAGCTAAAATACACAGTAATCTTCAGTAAACTAATGATCAATACACTTTGATCTTATTGTTCTTCGTTTGTGGCTAATTTCCTTGAAATCTGACTAAATCATATGCAGATTAAATTTTTCAGGTATTACGTTAGGAAGCTTATAAATCTGATACGCAGGAAATAAATATTGTTTAGGAATCATTAATTTTCTGTGCACGATACCACATACTCTGCTTCAGTCATTATCTAATAAAGGATGATAAATTTTATGTAAGTTATGTTTTATGATTAAAAATAATAAATTACGTAATATTTTTACAAGCATACTTCTTTGAAGTAGAATTTGAAATACATGTTTCTCATCAACTATTATTTTTTTTTTCTATTTAAAATACTTGTTTATGAAACGTAATGTTTTTAAAGTAATATATTAAACTTTCAGGAAATGTCAATTTTTAAAATAAACTTTAGGAATAAATAATTTGCGAAAAGAAGAAGCAAAAATAAAAGCAATGCATACAGACACATTAATACTGGAAATATATTTTTAGAGCATACGTATTCACTGTATTTATATGGGAGAAATAGCTCATGTGAATAAATATGTGCAAAATAGAATTCGCTTTCTATTTTTAAATTCCTGCTATTAGCTCACACTCTCCCTATATTTTGTTCAAATTTTCAATTGTTAATAAAATACTTTTTATTCATCCGCAGTTTTTTCAGATAATAAACATTTTTAAAATTTTTAATTAAAATTTTTTTTGTATTTAAATTTTTTTTGTATTTTAAAAATTTTTCTTTGTTGACCTAAGTAGTAATTGACTTAAAAGTTTTTTTTAAAATAATTCTTGTTAAGCAGATAATGTAACTTTAAATGTGAGACAATTTCCCTCAGAAAGTCTTCTACAAAAGCATATTTTCTCTTCAGCAGAAAGTCCTCATAAATTAAGATTTAATCAGTTAAACTAATAGGTCTTTAAACTACAATATTACGAAAACATAATTGTTCATGGAAAATGGAATAAATAAATAAATAAATAACAAATAAAAATAGTTACAAGTAGGTAAAGTAGTGATACAACAGATGCAGATTATGTCTGCCAGATCAACGGTCGCCAACCGGAGGTCCACTGGTGGTCCGTGAAAACGTTTTGATGGTTCGCAGAAAAATTGGGACATTATATATATTTTTATGAAAAATCAGTTTAAAAAATGACGAGTAAGAAAACCTATTATGGAATATGGATTATACTTTTTTTTAAAAAAAATTAGCTACTACTTTTAGATAAATTACTTCTGAATTTAGCTGCTTTTTAGCTACTTTTGCAGGTGCTTCTAGCGACATTTGAAAGTGAGAGTTGGCATCCATGGATATGCTGCTGCTATCAATAATAGCGCGAACTGGAATTATCTTTCCTTTTGAATTACAAACATATGTTATTGTGGTCGTTAATAATACAGTTTTTCTCCGTGTCAATAGACATCTTGACGGATTTTTATGAGAACCATCTCCATTCTTGTTTATAATCGCACAACTGGAAGTTTCCGTTTTCGTTTTGTCTAACTGTTGATCGATGGCGCCATTGTTAAGTAAGCGATGATTATTATGTTTACAATAATTAAAAATCTGATGTGTACACCACATGACTTCCTTGTACGGAATATTAAATTATACGCATTTTTTCTTGCATTTTATTTAAATTTATTAGATTGAATTAAACCTACTTCGCCGACAGCGCATAAACCACAATAGAATAAATGCATTCTTTAAAATTCACTTTGTTTACCATAGCGACACTCTGGCGCAAGGTTTACTTAACAGTATTATATTTCGTTCATATTATAACTCAGAATGCACAAAATTTATATCATTTAAAGAATTATCTAATTGTTGCCACATGTTCTATTCAAATACTATAATAAAGCTAGAACTATGTATAAAAGAAATTAAGCAAATAAAACAAAAAAGAAACAGATTTTCACAGACGATTGAGTATTTCTCATTCAATTAATTCAGTTCTTACTTCGCGAGAAGGCAAAAATACATAAAAACTCAAAATATCTATATTAAAAATTACGAAGTAAATCTCAAACGCTTATTTCCTCGAAAAAATTCCAGAAAGAATTAAGCATAATTGGCAATAATAAATGAATGCGTTATCTTTGTTGTTGCGAAGCTAAGTTTCTCTAGATTGGCAACAAATCCACTAGTCTCCTGTTTCAAATGTAAACATCAGTGGCCGCCATTAAAAACAGGCTTAGCGGCAATTAAACAACTTTAAAATTGCTGATAATTCTAAGAATATTGCACACAGATTTACTAAAGGCATAAAATCCTTAACCGGAAGATAACAATATAATTCAATCATTTTTAAAGAAAAAAATGTACAATTTACAAACATATAAGTGTAAAGGAACTGAGATCACTGAGCCGGGTAATAGAGTGGATATATATATAAATATATTTATATACGTTTGGTGCGGCCGATTGCAACGAAAATACGAGATGCACATCTACATGTTATTGCAGTCCTATATACAAAATTTCAACGTTCTGATTCTCTTCGTTTTCGAGTTATGCGAGATACGTACGTACGTACGTACATACGTTCGTACAGACGCCACGAAAAATTCTCTTCAGAATTAATTTTAAAGCAGTTTTATAATTTTTTGGAGGAAACGAGTATTTTATTCTGTCCTTTCGTACAAATATCACGCAAAAACATCGTTAATTTGCATTCGATAGCGGTCAAAATAGATATTTTCGTTGAAATATTCTGCCTGAAACTTTTCGCGATTACAATACTTCCTTTTTACTTCGTAAAAGGAAGTAAAAATTTGGCGGCATAACACTGTCAGTTTATTGATATTGCTTTGCGTGTGCCGGGTTGTTCTTGCTTTTCGTGAAGTTCATTTTCAGTGATATGGAAATGTGAAGCTTTCCTTAGAAGAAGGTAAGATTTTTGTATTTTTCATGTAATTTTTCAATGTGAAAGAAATATGTGTATGTAGTTCGCTGACTATTATTGCATAAATGTATTTACCTTTTTTTTAATTCACATTAGTGGTCCGCCAAATACAAAATTATATATGTAGTAGTCCGT